TCTGTATCCTTATATGCTGCTGAGGTATGACAGCCAATGTGACGTAGCAGTCAGGGCTTCAGAGCATGGGAGAGGCTGCAGGTGTGTGGGGGGTGGAAAGCTGAAGAGTGAGGGGGAAATAAAGGTAGGTTGATGATTGGCTGGGAAGGAGATAGGGTTGCCAACTCCAGGTGGGAAATTCCTGGAGATGTGAGGGATGGAGCCTGGAGAGGGTGAGGTTTCAGGAGGCGTGGGACCTCAGACAGGTACAAAGCCATAGACTCCACCCTCCAAACCAACTATTCCCTTCTGGGGAACCATCGTTGCCAATCTCCAGGTGAGGGCTGGAGATCACTCAAAATTACAACTGTTCTTTAGGTAGGAGAGATCAGTTCCTCTGGAGAAAATGGTGGAGTCAGTGTCATTATACCCTGCTGAGGTCGCCACAGCAAATTGACACTGAGTGTCCAAGGCTGGGGCACCTGCCCTGAGCCTCTTTCTAGAGGCCGTTGTATTTATTTCCACAATGGGCCTTTTCCCCTAGTCAATTATAATTCCAGAAGATCTCCAGGCCCCACCTGGAGGTTGGCAACCCTGGTTCCTAGTCTGGGTCTCTGCCTGCTCCTGAATGGAATTTTTTCATGCATCCCAAATTCCTCTTTTCTGGTCGTTTAAAATCAATTGTGGTTGGGAGTGGTGAGTAAGAGTGTTGTAAGACTGGGGACAGGGTCGGATGCAGAGGTCCATCGGTGGCTGTTAGCCACAAGGTATAGATGGAACGCTCGGTTTGGGGCGGTAATGCTCTGTATTCTAGGTGCTGGGGCAGGGGGCAACAGTGGGAGGGCTTCCAATCAGAATTGGAGATTTAGATGACTTGTTGCTAGTCTGTGGGTGACGAGCAAGAAATGCACTTGGAAGAACTCGCTCAGTAAGCATAATGGTGAAAAGTGTGTGCAGGAGGCAGACATACCAAAAAGAATTTCAAAAATTCAGCAGGGAAAGCTAATCCCCTGGTGGCAAATAATGACAGCAACCTAGGGTTGACAGCCTCCAGTCTCTTAGGACCCAATAAAAACATCCCTCCCCACCAAGCTTTTTCTTAGTTTATTGATCCTGTGCAGTTGCCTGTTTACAAAAGGGAAGTGATATGCTTTTAGTGATATGTTTCTTGCTGTCTTTGAAATTGATGGCTTCTTTCTGGTTGTCGATATTTATTTTGTTTGATTTCTTACATGTAGATTGATTAGCATACAAAATAGTATTATTTGACACATTTATGAAATTTAAAAGTACACACCGGCGTCCTTTTATTTTTAGCAGCAAAATTGCGACTGCGCCTAATACTAGAGAGGATTGCAGCCTGCTGCACTGCACACACTACGGGAGCACAGTTATTTCAGCTTTAAAGGTGACTGGCAGGAGGCAGCCAGGCATCCCGCAAGCAACAAGTGCCCTGTAGTGCGCCTCTTAGGGTTGCCAACTGTGACTTACCTCGCCGGTGGGGGACTCCTGGGGGATCCCAGTGTGTGTGTGCGCGCGCGTGCGAGAAGCGTGCGCCGCATTTGCATCACAGGGCAGTGACGTCATGACGCCGGGCACACTGGGGGCAGGGCCATGACCATACAAGGGAAAACCATAGAGTTTTCCCTTGTAGGGCCGTGGCCCCGCCCCCAGCGTGCCCGGCCCCCCGGTGCTCCCCAACATCTCCAAATTCTCCATTGGAAAAACTGAAGAAAAAAAATTCTGGAGAAGAGAATGCTGTCCGCGCCCCCCCCCCCCATATCTCTAAGGAGACCTGGTTCTGTACTCCTTTCTCAGCCACAAAGCTGCCTTGATAGCCCTGGGGGAATTGCCCCCCCCCCTCTTGGCCTAACCTCCCTCATATAGAGGGAGATAACCCCCGTCTGTGCCACCCTTGGCTCAGTAGAGAAGGAGCAGGTTAAAAAGGGGTTGGAAACACATGAGCACTGGCCCTCTCTATCTAAGCTGTGAAACAAAAAGTGGAAGGAAAACAGCCCCCTGCTTAGAGTGCCTCAGGGAGTGCTGCTCACACAGTTCATCAGTACTGGTTTGGTCGTATACTGTGAAGGGTGCACTGTCTCTCTAAGAGTACCTGACCGATAAAGCTGATTGATTCTTATCTTCCTGTCTCTCCTTTCTTTTTTGCAGCTCGATCGCTCGGACTCTTTTGTAAACCATGTCACCAGAACAGTAAGTTTAAAAAAGCAAAAAGAAAAAGAAAAAGGGATCCCCTTTTGGGGGGGGGGATTTCTTTGATTGAAGTTTGTGTGTGCCTATTTATCTCGCTCTCACAGAAGTGGTTTCTGCTAGGGCTTTTAAGAACCACTGTTCAGGAATTTAAAAAATATGAGAGAGGCCCTGCCAACAGGGCTCAAGAATGAAGGGTATGAGGGACAGAGATCACAAGACTCAGGTAGTCATATAGGACTTGCTCTTATGATGTTTGAGCACAAGGGGAATTCTGCAGTCCAGTGGCAAGACGTTCCGCAGGTAAGGGCACTGCTAGTGAAACCCGATGGAGACTTGAGATTGGAGATAAACCCTCGCTTTAGAAAATAAAATCATCCATCCATCCATCCATCCATCCAGTTTATACCCCGCCCTTCCTGCCAAGGCAGGCTTTGGGCAGCTTACATAAAATTCATATAAATACACTTAAAACAATCACAAATAACATCATCATAAAATAGCGTGACACTTCATTTTTTAAAAAGCCCTAAAGTGCTGGAACATGGTCTAATAAAGTGTGAGAGCAGAGGTTTCAAGTTCGCAATACTACTTAGGTGGCGATACAATCCTGATGGTATTCTCACCAGCTCAATTTGTTTGACTTATTTGTGCGGCGGGCACAGGCTGTAGGCGGTAAGGCCAGGGCACAGGGGCACTCCTCGGTATTTAATGCAGCTCCTTAGTTGAAATCCTGGTGGAAGTGCTTCGTCTTGCAGGCCCTGAGGAACTGTAAGAGGCCCCGCAGGGCCCTGAAGGTGAAGGGAGAGAATGTTAGGGGCATAAAGGGATAGAAGAGAAGAAAGTTAATGTAGAGAGAGAAAGAGAGAGAGAATGTATAAACAAAAAGAAATACAGTGAATATTGTAAGGAACAGGAAGGCGTATTAACAGAACTAAATAATGAAGAGATGTAAAAAAAAAGGGATGACAGGGGAAAAACACAGCTGGCTGCAGGGCTCGGAACAGTAGACATTAGATATGAGAAGGGAGTATGACAGGAAAAAGAATAAATTTTGGGAAGAATGAAGAAATGAATTAATCTTTCAGCCGTAAATAAATTATCTGATTTAAAATAATAATATTTAAATTTATTTCCTTATTTTAACCCCCTTGTCCAGAAAAAACAAGCAGTTGATGGAAGAAGAGGTTAAAATGACTGTGTGTGAACACTTTTATTTTCCTTTCAGGAAACACCTGTAACAGGTTGCCCCCAAAAGCACTCGTTCTCATATACAGCCCAAACGTGGAAGTAAAATCCGTGCGAGGGCTACATGAAGTTACAAGACGCTGACGTCATTTTGAGAGCTCCCCAAATTGTCCCCTCGAAATAGCTCTTTAGGGCTTCATTTTATGTAAATCAGAATTGGAGATTTAGATGACTTGGTGCTAGTCCGTGGGTGACGAGCAAGAAATACACTTGGAAGGGCTCGCTCAGTAAGCATAATGGTGAAAAGTATGCAGAAGGCAGACATGCCAAAAAGAATTTCAAAAATTCAGCAGTGAAAGCGAATCCCCTGGTGGCAAATAATGACAGCAACCTAGGGTTGACAGCCTCCAGGTGGTGGCTCAAGATCTCCTGGAATTAGAAGAAGAAGAAGAAGAAGAAGAAGAAGAAGAAGAGGAGGGGGGGAGGGGAAGAGGAGGAGGAGGAGGAGGAGATTGGATTTCTACCCCGCCCTTCACTCGGAGTCCCAGAGCGGCTGACAAACTCCTTTCCCTTCCCCTCCCCACAAACAGACACCCTGTGAGGTGGGTGGGGCTGAGAGAACTCTTGACACAAGCTGCTCTTTCTTCAAGGACAGCTGTGCCAGAGCTTGTGACTGACCCAAGGTCACATCAGCAGGTGCGAGTGGAGGGGTGGGGAGCAATGTTCCCTCTAAGCTGTGGAGTTTTGTGAGCAAAACTTCTACTTTGTGAGCTACTGCCATTAAAGTTGTGAGTGAGCGATTTGGCTACATCATAAATTATCTATGGCATTATACCATGCTGAGGTCCCTCCCCCTTTTCAAACCCCGCCCTCCCCAGGCTCCGCCCCCAACATAAGTATTTCCCAACCCAGAGCTGGCAGCCCTACTGGAAGCCCTTCCAGAACCCTCATACATTGTTCTCCCGCCCCCCACACAAGTAATCTAAATTCAAGACAAATTACACCTATTGGCTTGTTTTGAATGTTTTGCTTCTCCCTTGGACAGCCAAGAGGGAAGTGGCAAAGAGCTATATGCAGGGTGCCGAATTCTCAGTACTCCACTCACCGGCTGAGGCTTTGGAACCTCGTCAACCATTGAGGATTTGTTTTAGTGCTTTTTTAAAGAACATCTTTGCCTTTCAAGATGTTGACCCTAATACCGATTGTGTACTGATGGGCATAAGCAGGGGGGTTTTTGTAGAAAAAGCCCAGCAGGAACTTATTAGCATAATAGGCCACACCCAACAGCAGAAACGCATTAGCATAATAAGCCACACCCTGACATCACAGCTGATTAGCATATTAGGCCACACCCCCATGTTACCACACTCACCTTTTGCTTCTTATTCTTTTTACTTTGTTTGTTGTCAAAACCCAGGGCTTTTTTGTAGCAGGAACTTCTTTGCATGTTAGACCACACACCCCTAATGTAGCCAATCCTAATGAGTTTCTGCTGTTAG